ATATGAAATGCTAACATGCACAATCAACGTACAGATTATTAGAGTACATGCAACATAAGATAAAAGGGATGTTCTTACACGAAATGGAAAAGACAAAGTAAAAAGTGAAGATAAAAGCAAAGGGCTAACGTGCATTTTCCTATGTATAATAATGCTCAAAACATAGTATAAGGATTGAGTGAAGAAAGTGGAGCATACCACCTTGTTGGGTGCTATCTGCCTGGAACTATCCAATGAAGTACGAAAAAGTGAGCAATAGTTGGTATTATGAACCTAAACAATTCAAGATATTCATACTAAAAAGTGATTACAGTGGGTGATTTATTATTAACTAATTATTTCTCCTATAATTAAGTGGAGGTACAGACCCCCATTAATATAAGTGATGGGAAGCACATGAGCTAATTAAGAATAAAGTAGGAAGCAACAATATTAGTAATGTGATTCTTTAATTTCCTTCAACCACCAAATGAATACGATGGGATGGATGAAATTCCTCCGCTCTTAACCAGAGAATCGGACTCGAGAACTAAGAATGGAGAAATTTCTTGGAGCGGTTACCCTTTAAATAAACTTTATGCGATGCGAATCTGAATTAATCGAACTAGTGAGTTCCTAATACTAAACTGTTTAAAAAAAAGGATGGAGATATTCTTTTCCTCCTATACTCTTTAAGGTTGGAACAATCCTTCCATTTCATTGATACCCTTTTAAGTAGGGCTTAGACGAACCACATATGTCCACATCAAAGTGATGAAATCTACACAATTCGTTAGAAACAACACACGTAGTAATGTCGAAGAAGAAGAGGAGACTAAATGTGAGATACAGAAGTGAGATAGAGAAGAAGAAGCTCTAAAAATTATTTATTACACATGGTGTGGTCCCCTTTATACACCACTAACCGCCTCTAACCAACTACTTACTTATTTACACTTTAGTCCTCCAATTAGTGGGTTAGTGCACCTTTAGTCTAGTCTTTATAACAATACTCCCTTCAAGCTGGGGGTTGAAATACATTGAGCACCCCAAGCTTGGACAGAAGAAAGTGATGTTGTGATGAACCCAAGCCTTTGGTTATGAGATCAGCCAGTTGTTAATTGGTAGAAATGTACTGTGGTGCCAACTGCCCATTCTTGATCTTCTCTCGAACAAAGTGACAATCGATCTCGATATGTCTAGTACGTTCGTGGAATATAGGATTAGTAGCTATTTGCAGGGCTGCTTTGCTATCATAGTGCAAAGACACTGGCTGCTGAATCTGGACTTGCAATTCCTTAAGCAATCCTAGGAACCATGTGATTTCTGCAGCTGCTGCTGCTAAACTCCTGTACTATGCTTCTACTGAGCTTCGACTAGCAGTTTGTTGCTTCTTTGATTTCCATGAGAGTAAAGAATCTCCTAGTTTGATGACATACCCTGTGACAGATCTCCTGTTAATAGGACAGGAGGCCCAGTCTGAATCACAATAAGCAGACAATGTATCTATAGGCCCTGCCCCTAGCAGAATACCAAGGCCTGGTGCTGCCTTTATATATCTCACCACTCGCAATGTTGCATCCCAATGAGATTGTTTGGGATGTTGCATGAACTGACTGAGTACCTGTACTATAAAACTCAGGTCTGGTCTGGTGATGGTCAAGTAAAGTAACTTACCAATAAGTTTCTGATAGCTTCCCATGTCCCCAAGTTCTTCATCTCCATTTACCCCTACATGCTTGTCATATTCAATAGTGGTCAATTTCTGGTTGAGCTCTATTGGGGTGGAGATGGATTTAGCTCCTGCAAGCCCAATTTCTGATATCAACTGAAGTGCATACTTTCTTTGTATGAGTAGAATCTCCCTTTTTGATCTTAAAACCTCAATACCAAGGAAGTATCTTAGCTCCCCTAGATCCTTAACTATAAAGGAATTGTGTAATGTCTGCTTAGCTTCATCTATCAGTTCTGCACTGCTCCTAGTGATAAGCAAGTCATCCACATATACTAAGATAACAACAATGTCTGATGTTGTATTTTTAGTGAAGAGTGAATGATCAGAAGCACTCTGATGATATCCTGCCTCCACTAAAGCCTCAATCAATTTGATATTCCATTGTCTTGAAGTCTGCTTAAGACCATATAGATTTAAGTAGTTTGCAGACCTTATACTCCCCTTGTCTCTGGAAACCCCGTGGCAGTTCCATGTAGACATCTTCATAAAGATTCCCTTGCAAGAAAGCATTATTGACATCCATTTGAAACAGATCCCATCCTCTAGAGGCTACTATGTTAATGATTGTTCTGACAGTAACCATTTTGGCTACAAGAGAGAAGGTCTCATGATAGTCCAACCCTTCTTGCTGTATATAACCTTTTGCTACTAACCGAGCCTTGTATCTTTCTATTTCCCCATTTGCTTTATATTTTATCTTAAACACCCAGTTGGATCCTATAGCCCTTTTTCCTCCAGGTAAGCCAACAACTTCTCATGTTGCATTGTCTTCAAGAGCTTTAATCTCTTGTGACATAGTTTGTACCTAGTTTTGATCCTGACAAGCTTCCTTGAAGCTCTTTGGTTCAACTGTTGCAGAGAACGCCCCCAAGTAGCCCTTGTAATTTATGGACAGATGAGAGTGGGATACACTGTTTGAAATACAATGAGGATGATTTTGAGTCTTTGAGCTTGTAACATAGTCTTTCATCCATATGAAGGGCCTTGTAGTCCTGCTAGATTTCCTGACACCAGCTTCTTCAGTATGTACTTGCTCCATAAATGAGTGGCTTGTGTCTGGATCTGTGATTGGTTGTACTCCAACTTGCTCTATAGGCTGGTGTACTGTAGTAGTGTCAACTGAATCCAAAACTATATTCGCAATGGGTTCCAGTGTGTGAGTGTCTGCTGCAGCTGTTGATTCCATGGCTGGTGGCTGGGCAGCTTCAATTTGATCATGTGTTGTGGAGAGGTTTGATTCCTCAGTAGTTGCTTGTACCTCACCAGAAGAACCCTGCATCAATTGTTCAGGCAGAAGGTCATTTGTCACAGGAGGTTCACATGGAAATATGTCTTCAATTATCTGAGTTCTTTCCTTAAAAGGAAACACTTGTTCTCTGAATGAGACATCTCTACTAATGAACACTCTTCTAGTATCTAAGTCATATAGTCTGTACCCATCTTGTGTCTCTGAGTACCCTATAAGGACTGATTTTCTTGCTCTTGATGTGAACTTGTCACCACCAGGCAAGTTACTTGCATTGCACTAACAACCAAACACCTTTAAGTGCTCTATCTTTACTGGTTTGGTATGCAGCATTTCATATGGACATTTCCCTTGCAGCACTCCTGTAGGCAGCTTCTTAATCAAGTATGCTGCTGTTCTCACACAATCACCCTAGAATTTCATTGGCACTGAGCTTTGGAACATTAGTGCCCTTGCAACTTCAAGGATATGTCTATGTTTTATTTCCACTGTGCCATTTTGTTGAGGTATATATGGACAGCTACTCTGATGTATAATTCCCAGAGATGTCAATAAATCATTGCATTGAGAATTATGAAATTCACTACAATTATCTGACCTTAACACTTTCACAGTTATACCAAACTGATTCTTTATCATAGCAAGAAAGTTTTTTATTACAACTAGCACTTTACACTTTGATTGAATCAAACATACCCAGGTATATCTACTGTAGTCATCTACAATGGTAACAAAGTAATGCTTTCTATCATATGTGGCACCCTATGAGGTCCTCAAACATCTAGGTGAATGAGCTGAAAAGAACTATCTGACCTAGTATTACTTGAAGGAAACTTTAACCTATACTGCCTAGCTAATGGACACATATTACAATTCTCTTGCACCTGCATATCCACTTTATTCTTTAATTCTGGGATATGTTGCATTGACCTTAGATGCATGACCTAACCTCAGGTGCCAGAGTTCACTTTCAGCTCCTTTGTTCACAAAGAAACCTGCTGCAGCTATGTTATGTTCTCCTTTAGCAGATACAATCCATTGTGTTCTCTACCAATCCCCATTACCCTGCCACTGTAAAGATCCTGAAACATACAGAAATCATGAAAGAATGTGGCTGAGAAACTGAGATCTTTGGTGAGCTTTGATACAGACAACAGATTGAATTTAAAATCTGGTACATATAAGACATTTTTAACTGTCTTATTCCCTAGTATAGATGCTTCTCCAGTGTGTGTTATTTGTGACTTATTTCCTGTGGGCAATTGCACTTCACTCCTTCTTTGATCATCAGTTCTTCTCATATTACTCAGAATATCCTTAGAATATGTGACATGATGAGTTGCTCCTGTATCTATCACCCAATCACACATACCTGTATTTGCTAGCAAGGAAAGTATACCTGTCATGTTAGTGGAACATTCTGGTGTTGCTGGTTTTGACAAAAGCTTGAAAAGCTGTTTGTACTGTTCTTTTATGAAGAATTGTTCACTCTTCTGCACTTGAACAACTACTGCCTTGCCTTCCTCATTACTTACATTCACATTGTTGGTATAAACCTTTCCTCCTCCAGTCTGATTTTTTCTCTTGCTCTTGAAATCAGCTGGATAGCCAATTATCTTAAAACAATTTTTCTTAAGGTGACATTTGTATCCACAATGCTCACAAATGATCCGTGGCCTTTTACCTCTAAAGTTTTGACCCTTTCCTGCTAGCATGGTGAGTGGTTCCCTATGTGTATCAACCACACCTAAGGACCTTTGACTCTCTTCCTGAATAACTATTACATATGCTTCATTAACAGTCAGAACATGTCATTTAGCTATTACATTATTCCTTATGTTACTATAGCTTTCATTTAACCCCATAAGAAACTGCAATAAACGTTATGACCTTAAATGTTCAACTGAAGGTCTAGCCTTTTCACAATCACACGAAGACAGAGGCACTAATACATCAAGTTCATCCCACAAATCCTTCATTTTAGAGAAATATGTAGTTACAGAGTCAGTACCTTGTCTCAATGTTGCTATGGTTGTCCAAAGGTGATAGATTCTAATTAGATCTGATCTATCAAACCTCTCCTGGAAATCATTCCAGACCTTTCTCGCATTTGAAACATAGACAATGCTTGGCATCAACTCACTCGATACAGTGCTTTCGATCCATGATAAAACGATTGCATTGCATTTTCCTACTGCTGTGCTAATTCGCCTCTATACGTGTTCTTTACACAAGTTCCGTCCACAAACCCTAGTTTACCTTTTCCCTGGAGTGCCAATTTTATCGCCCTGCTCTACAGCGCGTAATTTTCTGGCCCTGTGAGCTTGAGCGGTATTAGGACAATTCCAGGAGCATCCGAGGGTTGCAAAAATAGCGGATGATTATGATATAGTGAAGCGACTTCATTTCCTGCCATGGCTGACCAGATCGGAGTTCCGTCGAGCTTCGATTATATAAATTTCTTCCTAATTCTGATGAATCTGTGATCGTTGCTCTGATACCATGATGAAATCTACACAATTCGTTAGAAACAACACACATGCAAGTAGTAATGTCAAAGAAGAAGAAGAGAGGAAATGTGAGATACAAAAGTGAGATAGAGAAGAAGAAGCTCTAAAATCTGTTTATTACACATGGTGTGGTCCCCTTTATACACCACTAACCGCCTCTAACCAACTACTTACTTATTTACACTTTAGTCCTCCAATTAGTGACTTAGTGCACCTTTAGTCTAGTCTTTATAACAATACAAAGTCAGTCCATTGAATATGAAAAAAACAAGAAAGAAATTCATGCTTCTTAGTTAAAAAACTTGAAATGGAATAAGATGCAAAATTGAGCAATAAATTTTTGTTTAATTGGGCATTAAGCTAGTCACACATTGTAAGTCAAAAAACATAAAATAGAAAAGAATTAAATGACTTACTACGATTTGTCGAATTAAGATCTAAAAGTGAGTTTGGAAGTTTTGATGTCATCACTTGGGTGATAATTGTTTTGAGTTATAGTTTCACCTCGGTTAGTAATTAATTGGTATTTGGTACTCAATTGTTGTTTTACTAGTTGAGAGTTATCAAGAATCCACTCAATTTTTTTTTTGGAAATTTATGATTCCAAATTTTTTGTAGAACTTAGAGATGATAATAATGTGCAGAGAGTATACATATCACCGTACGAAGAAAATAATACAAAATAATTCCAAGAAGTGGCAGTATAACTTTATAAATATTTGAACCTTATTATATCTGTATAAAGTTTTTTTGTAAGTCTTGTTAACCTAAGTCAGGATTCAGTACCCTTTCATTGACTAAAACAATAGGTTCATCTTTTTCTATTTTCCACATATGACTATCGGACTCTTACTTTGCAATTTGACAATTTGGAGTAGATAACCTGTCACCAACCGATGTGCGTAAACATTAGAGTACACATTCCTATCCTTTTGAAAGAACCCTTATATTCAATTTTTTATTATTATTAGGGAAGTGACTAGGTTGATGACGACTTCTTTGATCCAAATGGGTCACTTACCACTTGGTCTCACATAATAAGCAAATAGGTTTTATTAACAAGGTAACCCATAACCGCTACTCTTCGGGTGCGCCCAGGGTGTTGGCCTGAGTGGCTTTTGTTTTGATGATTGACAAAGGAACACATGTATGAATCATATTTATGGGTTGTGTACACAGGGTGTCGTCATTCAAGCAAAAAACATGCACATTCAAGGAAAGAAAAGGTTGCATAACTGTGATAAGGAGCGACTCCTTACTTGAAAAGAACTCTATCCTAGATAAGGAAAGAGTTAGAGATTGAAGTTAACTAGAACTCTTCCACCAAAGAAGAGTAAAGCATTAGAACTCTAGTTAATTCTAATCCTACTAACTCTATATATTTCAGTTGTGTTCTTTTTTACAGGTGATGCACTAACGCTGAAGTTAAGCAAGAATTGAGAGCAAAATATCAAGGCATTTGCAAGCAGTTTCTGTGTGTTTCAAGAAGTGCGAACTTGAAGCTACATGAACCAAATAGAAGAATCAGTTCCATGTGTGTGTCTTTTATTCTAGTTCAATTGTAGTAGGGCTTTTGAGTTGTACCTTTCAGCTTTCTTAGAAGCAAATTGTATTAGGTACTTGAGTTGTATTGTTCAAGTTAGAGTTAACTTGAAGCTGTCGCAACAGCCTGTGGCTGGTTGTTACAAGGGTTAGAGGTAATCCTTAGGTTTACAAGAGTCTGT